TTAAGGTTAGACCATTTTACATTTCCGAATAAATATCACCAGTAAACTATAAACTTAAGTTACCACTAGACGCGAATATACATCCAGTATTCCATGTGTTACTATTGGAACCAGCGGACTAGGATACACTAGTTAAGACCACCTTCTACCATTAGCTAGAGGAAGAAATAGAATTTAAAGTAAAACGAATCCTATAAATATATAATCTATTTATAGAAGAAGAAGAATATCTTATTAAATAGAAAGGATACCTATTAAGCGAAAATACATGGGAACCTAAGAAAAACCTAGCTAACTGTTAGTAACGTATACGGGACTTCTTTTTATAAATGTTACTACTCAAATAATAAAGACTATGACACACCTAAGACGATAAAATGGGATTTTCCTAGAACCTAGGCAGAAGATCATCTATGGCAGACCACATGGAAGTGCTAAGTTTGGTAGGACCAGCTGGCCAAGTGGGCTAGGTAGGATCCTCTTCCAACTCCTCTAAAGCAGCACTCTCTACTATAATAACTTCACTAGTACGTTTTTCATTTTATACTAGCTATTTTACTAGCTGCTCTTCCTTCACACGCGTAACACGTAACGCCTTAAATATAGTGTCTTATTCCTTATACGCCTCTAATATTTGCGCTTCTAACTTCTTCTTTTTGGTAACTAACCGTGAAAACTCATTTTAAGTAATAGATTATTACGAACCGGAAGATAGAAGGGTGAGGCGGGGCGCTTATAAAGGTGTAAGGATGTAGTGGTAGGGTTACGACGAGATAAAGAGTAGCCAAGCCACTTAGATAGTAGTCACGTGACCTGCTCAGCTGCTTAGGAGCCCTAAGTAGCCGAGTAGCCAAGATGGGTCACGTGACCTGCTCAGCTGCTCAGGAACCCTAAGCAGCCGAGCAGACAAGTATATAGGAACTCGAGTATAAACTCTTATACTCGTGTTTAACCTATTTACTAATCTATCATTTAGATTATACTTAGGCTATATTGTTGACTCGTTATATCCTCCTCCGATACTATCGTCTCGACAAAACCCCTTCCCTTCCCTTAGTTGTCTTGCCTAAGAATCAACCCTAACCCCTTAGGACTAGCTACCCTTCTGGATTTAACATCTTAAACACCCACAACATGATAACGGGGACTCCTACCTCTTCCATGGACACGGGCAACGCTACGGTAACCCCAATAGAACACAAGGGTACCAAGGCGTATAAACCCGACCTATATTATGGCGTTAGAAACCATACCGATATCTGGCTTCTTTAATTGGACCTTTACTTCTACGAAGAAAATAAAGACAAGGACGATAAAGATAAAGTTCTCTTTGTAGCATCCTATATGAGAGGAGATGTAGGAGAATGGATTTA